CTTGCTTAAGCGCTATTTGGAGTCAGTTTGCGAATCACCTTCCGATGCTTCAGACAATCTTTACAGGTTGATGGTGGCTGTTGATAAATTCCGGGAATTGGGTAAAGTTGGTTGTGAATCAATCAATTTATTCGAGGCTGGTTATCACAGATCTTTACGAAACTTGATCATCGATTCAATGAATAACAAGTAGACTCTAAAAGTACACTTACGTACTATCATTACATTTCGATTTGAAAGTGAAACAAGCTAATGCATTGACTTCGTTGTTAACTTTTTGGCCAATTATTCACAAAAAGCGAAGCATTCTCCAATGTGCTCTTCTTAATCGTTCCGAGCCGAGATTCAAGTCAAGTAAATGATTCTTTGTTTACAATCAAATGGTCTTGGTTAAAACAATTATCATAGGATTAATAAGAAAAGAAGCAACAGATAACACAGTCGTCGGATTTATGAAAAAACAAAAGGAGACAAAGATACATGTATATTACATGTAATGAAACCATCGGGTGAAACCCGTCCTGGATAGATTGTGTTGGTAGAAGAGACTCTTAGCTAGTGATTAAAGGAGGAGAGATATTAATCCATAATATCGTGCATCCATAAATTAAACTTATACCCACAGGATGCCTGCGTATCAAGATTTTATCACCTATTTTTTAATCATTTCTTAGTTTTTATTCGCTATTAACCTTCAGTGCTTATAAGTTTAACTTTCATTTCTTTCTTATTGATTGCTAAATCTTCTACTTTACTCTTTGCTCTTAACTCGATTCAACCAAATGTGTAGAAAGCTTTATTCGTATCTTATAAAAAAATAATTGTGCATATGTGACAAGGTTTATCAAAGATCAATGTAATTAATCCTTGGTGTTTATCGTAGTTAAATGGATAATTGTCTTACAAAGAAAAAAGTGTTACAGTTTTAGTTGATTATGACTTGCAACCAGAATAAATCTTCAGTTTATTCATGTTATTCTGTTTTTTTGTGACGTTATTATGTTTGGTTTAATTCTGTTAATGTAATTTTTTTTACAATACAGTGAACTCTTTAATTTCAATCAACCATCTACAAGTCCACCAATGATAGCCAAAGATTTAAAAAACAACAATTCGATAATTTCGTTGTCTCAATTGAAAGTGCCAAATACAAATGAAATGCTTTTGCAAGTATTGTCTCCAAGTGAAGAAACGCTCAAAACTTGCTTGTACTCGGATCAGGATAAAAACAAAGTCAATGACAAAACTGACTGTGATCAGTCCACCAATTCATCAAATAATGTAAATTTAACTGTTGATAGATTCCACCATAAAATTAGCCGCCAATTTGGATCAAAGAGATCAAAACTTGACTATATCAACTTATACGACACGGCATCAGAAAGTATTTATTCTGATGATCTTGATCGATACGTAATCAACATCGTCAATCACACTAATCTAAGTCTCTCAGCCTTGAGTCTTAATGGCTATGAAAACTCAGAGACATATTACCAATCTTATGATGATTATCAACCTCTACAGAGAAACTCACAATTCACCTACAATGATTACGTTAAACTGAGAGCAAACAATTTACTACTCGCCAGACTTGGATACAAGTTGACAATCACATTGAATACAGACAACGATAGACCAGAAATATGGAACCCAAAAGTAGCCAAGAAAATATTATCCGTTGATTATTCACCATTGAGGTTGGTGAAGAATTGTTACCCGGCAGAAGCGTCATTGGACCAATTTGAAACATTCCTTTTAGCCGAAGTGGTAAATGCTTTTCAAGCTGATGGACCAACTAACTTGCCTGATTTTGCAATTAAATGCAAAACGAATCCCTCTCCAGTAAGATTCGTTTCCATATGCAGGAAGCTTAGAAGTTTAAAGAACCTTTGTGACAACGATAAAATTGTCCTTATGTGCAGCTCATTTTATGATGTCGCTTTTATGAATATGATTTTGAAATACGACCTTTCAACTGATGAATGGATAGTAAGTGTTATTTAGTATTTCGATCAATGTCAATTTTCATCTCCTTTGTTTTTTGCCTACTAATGATTAGTGCTTGTTTTTTATGCAAGAACCCAGATTATGGGACAAGATTTGGGAGACGTGATTTATTCATTTGGAATCGTTTATTACATGATATGGCTATTCCCATTATTGAATCATTTCCAGATCGATGGAGAAAGGATGAAGTGGTTGAAGTTTTGATTAGTTTGATTCTTATTTTCAACCCTGATCAAGTTGGACTTAACTTTCCCGATTCAGTTAGGTAATTATGATCACCATTTTGCAATACTTCAATTTAATCCTTCTGATCGATATTTTGTCCACACAGACATGATCAATACGTTTACATTCATCTGCTTAAGCGCTATTTGGAGTCAGTTTGCGAATCACCTTCTGATGCTTCAGACAATCTTTACAGGTTAATGGTGGGCGTTGAAAAATTCCGGGAACTGGGTAAAGCTGCGTATCAATCAATAAATTCTTCCCAGCCTGGTTATCACAGATCTTTACAGAAAATTATTTTCGATGTTATTAAAAAGTAAAAAGCTCAAAATCGCGATGGATTCATCCGAAGACTTGGTGTATTAAAAGCTCTTGTGTGAGATCAAACATTGTATACACTATCATTGCATTTCAATTGCGAATTGAAACATGAGTTATGGAATTGATTTTATTGAAAACGGAAAATCACTCATATTTTGGGAGTGATAGTGTGATCTTCTGAACTATTCCAACTCAAGATTCAAGTTCAATAAAGCTAGTTATAGATAAATAATTAATCAATAGCGATGATTTGTTTTAAATAAAATGTTCTTTCTGAAACAATAATTATAAGATTAACCAGAGAAGCAACACTTAACGCAATAGACGAGAAAGGTCTGGTTAATGAAAAAGCAGATAAAGATTTATAGTGAAACTCTGGTGTTGAATGGAGAAACTCGATCCAACAAAATCTACAGAAAAGATTATTGAAATCTTATCAAAAAATAACAGCTACAGTGCACATGCTACAGTGTTTATCTCGATTAAATGGATGATTGTTTTACAAAAATAGGATTGTTGGTTTTACTTTGTAATCAAAATAAATCTCTAGTTCATTTAGGTTATTCTGTTTTTTTGTGACGTTATTATATTTGGTTTACTTGTGTTGTTATTAAAATTTTTATACAATGGATTTTAGTGAATGTTTGAATTTCTATCAACCATCTACAAGTCCACCAATTAAAGAAGCAGATTTGGAAAACAACAATTCCATAATTACGTTGTCTCAATCGAAAGTGTCAAGTATTGAAAGCATGCTTTTACAATTATTGTCACCAAGTGAAGATACACTCAAAACTTGCTTGTACTCAGATCAGGATAGAAACAAAAATAACAGTGACTGTGACCAACTCGCCATTCCATCGAATACTGTAATTTTGAATGTTGATAGATTCCATCTTAAAACCTGCAGTCGATTTAGACCAAAGCGATCAGAACTTGACTACATCAACTCATACGACGCGGCATCAGAGAGTATTTACTCTGATACCATTGATCAACTCGTGTTCAATATCGTCCATCAAAACAATCTAAGTCCTGCCATCTTGGATATCAATGACAATGAACACTCAGAAACACTTTATTACCAATATTATGATGAATATCAAGCTTTACAACCCAACCAACACTTCACCTACAATGATTACATCAAACTGAGAGCAAACACTTTACTACTCGCCAGACTTGGATACAAGCTGACAATAACATTGAATACAGACAACGATAAACCAGAAACTTGGAATCCAAAAGTAGCCAAGAAAATATTATCTGTTGATTATTCACCATTGAGTTTAATAAAGGATTTCCACACTTCACAAACGCCTTTGGATCAATTGGAAACTTTCCTTTTAGCAGAAGTAGTAAATGCTTTTCAAGATGATGAACAAATTAACTTGCCTGATATTTCACTTAAAGTGAAAGCTGCGCCACAAAAATTTATTTCAATTTGCAGGAGGCTCAGAAGCTTCAGAAAACTATGTAATAACGATAAAATTGTGCTCATGTCTAGCTCGTTTTATGATGTGCATTCCATGACTGTCGTTTTCAATTACTTTCCTGCAACTGATGATTGGATAGTAAGTATTCTAAGAGCTCATTTTAGCACACATATTTGTGGAAATATCAATAACTATTAGTAATTGTTCTTTATCCAAGAACCCAGATTGTGGAGCAAGATTCGGAAGACGTGACTTATTCATTTGGAATCGTTTAGTACATGATATGACTATTCCCGTTATTGAATCATTCCCGGATAGATGGAGAAAGGATGAAGTAGTTGAAGTTTTGATTAGTTTGATTCTTATTTTCAACCCTGATCAAGTTGGACTTAACTTTCCCGATTCAGTCAGGTAATGATGATCACCATTTTTCGATTTTTTAATTTAATTTCAATTTAATCCTTCTGATCAATACTTTTTTAACACAGACAGGAACAATACATTTACATTTATCTGCTTAAGCGCTATTTGGAGTCAGTCTGCCAATCGCCCTGTGATGCTTCAGACAATCTTTACAGATTAATGGTGGCTGTTGAAAAATTTCGGGAATTGGGCAAAGCTTCGTATGAATCAATCAACTTATTCGAGCCTGGTTATCATAGATCTTTACGAAACTTGATCATTGATGTAATGAATGGCAAGTACAATGTTGATTCAAAAAGTGCACTGGATAAAGTCGAAGACATGGCAACTTAAAAGTCTCTTGTTTGGCTCAAATAATTTTTCACTATCATTATGATTCGAAAGTGAAACATAAGTAAATGGATTGCTCTTGTTGAAAATTTGCACCGGTTCAATTATCATCACAAACAAGCAAAACATCAGTCATATTTCAGTGTGATCCTCGTGCCGAGACAAGTCAAGTTAATTGCAAAAAATTAATTAAAATTAACCAGTAGCGATAATAATTTACGTTTATTCTTTGTTCAGATGGTTCCTGTTAAACGATTATTGTAAGATCAACCAGAAATGAATCAACATATAACACAATAGAAGCGAAAACTCAGATTAATGAAAACAAAAGGAGCTTAAGATATACTAATGAAAGCCACTAGTCCACCCACTTTGCTCTTAACTCGATCCAACCAAATGTGCGAAAGCATAATTCAAATCTTGTAAAAAAAAATAATTGTGCACATGTGACAGTGTGCATCAAAGATCAATGTAATTAATCCTTGGTGTTTATCGTAGTTGAATGGATAATTGTCTTACAAAGAAAAAGGTGTTACAGTTATAGTTGGTTATGACTTGCAATCAGAATAAATCTTCAGTTCATTCATGTTATTCTTGTTTTTTGTGACATTGTTGTGTTTGGTTTGATTCTGTTATTACTGTTCATTTTTAATTTTGCTATTATTAAAATTTTTTTTCAATGGATTCGAGTAAATTTTTGAATTACTGTCAACTATCTACACATGTACAAGTCCGTCAATGGAAGCGGCATTTTTAGAAAATAACGATTCGATGATGTAGTTGGCTCAATCGAAAGTGTCAAATATAAGTAAAATGCTTTTGTAAGCATTGTCTCCAAGTGAAGAAACACTCAAAACTTGCTTGTACTCGGATCAGGATAAAGACAATGTCAATGACAAAACTGACTGTGATCAGTCCACCAATTAATTTTTGATGCTTGTCTGAAGCATCAAAAAGTGTAAGCATCTTTACAGATTGATGGGGGTGTTGAAAAATTCCGGGAATTGTGAAGAGTTTTGTGTGAAGCAATCAATTTACTTGAGGCGGGTTATCACAGATCTTTACGAAACTTGAAAATCGATGTAATCAGGCTGTAAAAGCTCAAATACGCGTTGGATTCATTCAAAGACGTGGTGTAACAAAAGCCTTTTTGGGAGATCAAACAATTCATTTACTAGTACAACATTTCAATCCTAAAGTGAAACATGAGTTGGTGAATTTATTTTGTTTAAAACTTGCTCTAAACCAATTCACGGAAAAGTATTATACATATTTTGTCAGGATAGGATCCAGGTTCAGTCAAGTAATAAATGAGTAAATTAATCAGTAGCGGCTATTGTTATTCTTGGTTCTCTATTTTCAATCTTAGGGGAAATGTCAATGGATAACCAGAAAAGAAGCAACAGTTACCACAATAGATGAGAAAGGCTGATTGAAAAAAACAAAAGGAGACAAAGATATAATAATGAAACCCATCGGTTTTGACACTCTTAACTCGATTCAACAAATGTGCAAAAAAGATAATTCAAGTCTTATCGAAAAATGATTGAACACATGCAACAGTATTTATCAAAGATCAATATAATGCTCTGTGGTGTTCATTATAGTTGAATGGATAATTGTATTACAAAGAAACAGGATAGTTGGCTTTATCAACGTAAATCTCTAGTCTATTTGGGTTATGTGACATTATTATATTTGGTTTAATTTTGCGATTATTAAAATTGTTTTACAATGGATTTGAGTGAATTTTTGAATTTCTATCAACCATCTACAAGTCCAGCAATTAAAGAAACAGATTTGGAAGATAACTATTCGATTATGTCGTTGTCTCAATCAAAAGTGTCAACTGTTAATGGAATGCTTTTGCAATTATTGTCCCCAAGTGAAGATACACTCAAAACATGCTTGTACTCGGACCGTCATAATAACAATAATAATGACGTTAACTGTGATCAGTCCTTCATTTCATCAAATAATTCAATTTTGAATGTTGATAGATTTCATCTTAAAATTGGCCGTCAATTTGGATCAAAGCGATCAGAACTTGACAACATCAACTTATACGACTTGACATCAGAGAGTATTTACTCTGACACCATTGATCAACTCGTGTTCAATATCGTCCATCAAAACAATCTAAGTCCTGCAATCTTGGACATCAATGACAATGAACACTCAGAAACACTTTATTACCAATATTATGACGACTATCAAGCTTTACAGCCCAACCAACACTTCACCTACAATGATTACATCAAACTGAGAGCAAACACTTTACTACTCTCTAGACTTGGATACAAGCTGACAATAACATTGAATACAGATAACGATAAACCAGAAACTTGGAATCCAAATGTAGCCAAGAAAATATTATCCGTTGATTATTCACCATTGAGTTTAGTGAAGCATTGTTACCCTGCACAAACACCTTTGGACCAATTAGAAACTTTCCTTTTAGCAGAAGTGGTGAATACTTTTCAAGATCAACGACCAATTAACTTGCCTGACATTTCACTCAAAATCAAAGGTGGTCCCCCACCAGCAATATTTGTTTCCATTTGCATGAGGTTCAGAAGTTTTAGAAAACTATGTAATAACGATAAAATCGTTCTTCTGTCGAACTCATTTTATGATGTGAATTCTATGTATCGGGTTTACAATTACAATCAATCAACTGATGATTGGATAGTAAGTATTATTTAGTTTATTTTCATTTTTGATTTGAATTGTTTTGTATGAATAAGGAATGATTGTTTAGATACCTGTGGAATTATAATTAATTTTTGCTACTGATTCTTTATTCAAGAACCCAGATTATGGGACAAGATTTGGAAGACGTGACTTATTCATTTGGAATCGCTCATTGCATGATATGACTGTTCCTGTTATCGAATCATTCCCGGATAGATGGAGAAAAGATGAAGTAGTTGAAGTTTTGATCGGTTTGATAATTGTTTTCAATCCTGATCAAGTTGAACTCAACTATCCCGATTCAGTTAGGTAATTATGGTTATCATTCTGCAATACTTTAGTTTAAACTTTCTCTTCGATATTTTGTTTACACAGACATGAACAGTATGTTTACATTTACCTGCTTAAGCGCTATTTGGAGTCAGTCTGCCAATCACCTTCTGATGCTTCAGACAATCTTTACAGGTTAATGGTGGCTGTTGAAAAATTCCGGGAATTGGGTAAAGCTTCGTATGAATCAATCAATTTATTCGAGCCTGGTTATCACAGATCTCTACGAAACTTTATAATCGATGTAATCAATAACAAGTAGACTCTAAAAGTGCACATAAACTGGAGCCAACCAAAGACTTGGCTACTTGAAATACTCTTGTTTGAGGTCAAGAAATTTAATCACTATCATTACATGGCATTCCAAAATATTGATGTAATTATTTTTATTTATTTATTTATAACTCTTCGACTATTTTTAATTAAACTTTACTTAATGGTTAGATTAATGAAAATCGAAAACAATCAATTGATAAAATATAACGAAAAGGCAATGGCTTCTAACGAACGTAAGAATTGGGCTTTGGTTTTTCTTTTGACAATTTCAAAGGTGATGCTGTGAATATTTTGTCGCTAATCAATTGTGTTGAACTATAACAATTATTTCCAATTATTTGATAAATTGTTTTTAAAACCTCTCGTGTCGATGGATGGAACTCTTGACTCGATTCAAAAAGTGTACAGAAAAGATAATTGCAATCTTATCAAAAAATAATTGTGCACATGCTACATGATTAATCTTTCGTGTTTATCATTGATGTTTGGAACAGTGCTTGTTGATTTTACCTAATAATCAGAATAAATCTTCAATTTATTCATGTTAGTCTATTTTTTAAATCGTTTTACAATGGATTTGAGTGAATTTTTGGATGTATATCAGCCCCCTACAAGCCCACCAATGGTAGCCAAAGATTTACAAAACAACAATTCGCTAATATCGTTGTCTCAATCAAGCATTAATAAAATGCTTTTGCAAGTATTGTCACCAAGTGAGGATACAATCAAAACATGCTTGTATTCAGATCAACATAAAAACAATGAGACATGTAATAACACTAACTGTGATCAACCCACCAATTCCTCAAGTACTGTTAATTTGGGTGTTGATAGATTCTATCTTAAAAACTGTCGTCGATTTGGATCAGAAATTGACTACATCAACTTATACGACGCGACATCAGATAGTATTTACTCTGATACAATTGATCAACTCGTGTTTAATATCCTCAACCACAACAATCTAAGTCTTTCAGCCTTGGACACTAATGACTATGAAGACTCAGAAACATATTATCAATATTATGATGATTATCAAGCTTTACAGCCAACACAACAGTTCACCTACAATGACTACGTCAAAGTGAGAGCAAATAATTTACTACTCGCCAGGCTTGGATACAAGTTGACACTAACATTGAATACAGACAACGATAAACCAGAAACATGGAATCCAAAAGTAGCCAAGAAAATATTATCCGTTGAGTATTCACCTGTGAGTTTAGTGAAGGATTTTTACCCTGCACAAGCACCTTTGGACCAATTAGAAACTTTTCTTTTAGCAGAAGTGGTAGATGCTTTTCAAGATGATGAACCGATTAACTTGCCTGATATTTCAATTAAAGTCCAAACGGGTCCGTCACCAGTAAAATTTGTTTCCATTTGTAGGAAGCTCAGAAGTTTAAGAAAGCTATGTAATAACGATAAGATTGCACTAATGTCCAGCTCATTTTATGCGGTCGCTTCCCTGACTGTTGTTCTTAAATACAATCAATCAACTGATGATTGGATAGTGAGTATTATTTATTCCATAGCCAACTTCGATTTGAGCGAGAATGGTTTTTGAAACCTTTGGGAATATCATTAATTATTTATTTTTGATTTTTTTTGAAGAATCCAGCTCATGGATCGAGATTTAGAAGACGCGATTTATTCATCTGGAATCGTTTGTTACATGACAAGTCTGTGGTTGTTATTGAATCCTTTCCAGATCGATGGAGAAAGGATGAAGTAGTTGAAGTTTTGATTAGTCTTATCGTTATTTTTAATCCTGATCAAGATGGAATAACATTTACAGATTCAGTTAGGTAATTATGACCTACATAATACTGCAAAATCCTTCTGATCAATATTTTGCTTTTACAGACACGAACAATTTGTTTACATTCATCTGCTTAAGCGCTATTTGGAGTCAGTTTGCGAATCGCCCTGTGATGCTTCAGACAATCTTTACAGGTTGATGGTGGCTGTGGAGAAATTCCGGGAATTGGGTGAAATTTTATGTGAATCAATAAATTTATTCGAGGCGGGTTATCATAGATCTTTACAAAACTTGATCATTGATGTAATAAACAAGTAGGCTAAAGTGTAAATTGACTCAGCCAAAAAATCACTAACAGCACATATCAATTCAAAATATTGTACATGTTACATGTATTTTATTTATTTATAACGGCTGCGCTTATTTTAATTATTCTTGTAAGCAACATCTTAAAACGCCAAGCCCTACCTTGTAAAGTTTGACAATCTTGCAACAATCTTAACTGCCATGTACAGGGTGACAATTCATAACCGAGAGACTTTTTTTCAAGATAACGGCCGAACGGTACATGCAGTGGCCCTCATATTTTTTTCTGGGCATCAGGGCCTCAAAGGTAAATGTTTGGGCTACTTTGCAGGAATTCGAAAATTTTCAAATTTCTATGGGATTTTACATAGAAAACATCATTTTTTAGAAAAAT